TATTGTTGATGTTAAAAATCAGGTGTGCGCTTGAATTGAATTAAGATTGTCCAGATACAGAACAGAGTCTGATTTGAATATTGATTTTGATAAGTTCACTTTGATCCACATTTTATTTTGTTAAAAAATAAATCACTGGTATGAAATTTGATCCTGTTTTACATCTTGGCTTACCATCGTATCAACATCTGAAATTGTGTTCTGTGTGAAGATAATAACAAATTTGTTTTGGTTCATAAATTGACCAATCAATCAATGTTGATCTACAAGTCACTAATTATTAATTAGCTAATCTAACCGTATCATGGATGGCAAATGAGTCATTTCATACAAACCAATAGACTGTGTTCAAATTTGCATTAATTTGACAATTTTACCAACTTTCACAGTCACAATATAGTAATTAGGAAAACCTGTTTGCACGTATAAATTTATCTTCTTCTCTATACATTTCACCACACCAGCGTAAACAAAAACTCAATTGAAATGGTGCTCATGGTTCATTGCTTCCTTATGCAGCTTCACATTGTATCGAGGGAGATATGGTTAGTGGCAATGTTTCTGATGAAATTTTTGCCGTGTCGTCTACTGGATGCTCTTATTCTCTTGTTATGCTACTTCAAATTTGGCAATTTGTCAAAGTATGGCTTACACAGACCGACAAAGGGACCAATGTATTTGAAGAAATACACCCCTATATACCCTGTTGTGGACATTGGCACAGTAACGAAGATCAAGTCTGGAGAAATCCAGGTACCTACTACGCTGTCTTGCATTTTAATTTTCTTGTGATGCATTATGGGATGTTTATCTCTTTCTAGGCAAGTGTTGAGTTTTTTATGTTATTGTGATTCTTATCTGTGCAAAATGATGCCCTATTAAGTGATTTATAGAAACCAAGTCTCAGAATCTCTTCAACCTGAGAATCACAATTCTGTAGTATGTAATTCCACAAATGAAGCTTTTACATATATGTCTATAGTATGCAGTGTGTTGTTATTGTGTTGATTGCACAGGCTAATTTATACTCATATGACCAATTTTGATACAATATAGCATTAGCGAAAGGATGTTAGAAATTTCAGGAATAGAAAATTTGTTACTAAATTTAAGTTTCAAATGATTTGATACTAACATAGACTTTGTAAGATCTTAATACGCTATGAAAATTTTGAGCACACATTCTGTTCTGAAGTAAATATAGAAAGTATTTGCAAACAAAAATATTTGCGTCAATCACAAGAATATTTGGATTGGACAAGCCTAGCTCAAATAAGAAGCGTTACAAAATGAACATAGAAGGGAAATATATGCTTTTTGTACTTGAATGTACTAATCCGCACTCTTTCATAAGTATCAAAAGGAGGAAAATTATGAGATTACTCCGAATGCATTATAAATTCTGTTTCCATATCTTCTTTTACTCTCATTTTTTTGGAACAGTGAATCTTAATTGCTTTAGGTTTTCTATGTTATTGTCTTTAAAATATGCATATAGTGTGTTAATTAAGCAAATCTTAGTTTGATAATTGGATTAATGGCAGGTTGTACCTTCAATAAAGAGTATTAAAGACAACTGTGTGACATTTTCTGATGGAAGGTTTCAGAACTTTGATGCCATAGTTCTTGCCACAGGCTACAGAAGCTCAGTGAAAAAATGGCTCAAGGTAATACGAGCTTTCATTTCATGCTTCTTTTTCCATCGCCAATTCAGTTTGTAATGCAGAAAGAAATACCAAACTTGAATCACAAATGAATAGTGGCTGTTTGCAGAATGATGCTTGTCTCATTGGAGAAGATGGAATGGCCAAGCAAATGTTCCCCAACCACTGGAAAGGGAAGAACAGAATTTACTGTGCTGGGCTTGCGAGAAGAGGGATTTATGGCTCTGGGGAGGATGCACAAAGTATTGCTAATGATATTGCAAGTGACTATCAATCTGGAAAATAATGTCTTACCTGATTCCGAGAGTAAGAAAGATGGAGTAAACTGAAAGGATGCCAAGCTCATGTAAAACATTTACATCTATGTTGTCAGATAAATTATTTATTTTGCGCCATCTGTGTGAATTAGTGGTTGACTTATTTTCAGAAGCAAATGACTTCTCTAAGGTATGTGGAGAGTTCCAATCATGGGATTTAGATCCCTAATCAGTCAAAAAATGCAAGGACAAAGAAGAATCATTCTTGGAAGATGGTTGACTTACCTATATAGGACAAGTCTATTGGTGTAAATTATCTTTATAAGAAAAAAAATAAAGCAAGATGATGATATTGGGAAGTACAAAGTCAAGCAAATTGAAAATTATTACAA